CTTGACTTTGTCAACGAGCTATCCTTACAGAAAATAAAAAAGAATATTAGAGATAATCAAAAACAAAAAAAAATTGAATTAATATTTATTGACTAAATATAAATTAAATTTTCTGAGAAAAACAAACAAACAAAAAGACACACCTTTATCATCTACTTTGATATACAAATTAATTTGTAATAATAATAATAAAAGGATTTTTTGTCTTCCTCTTTCATCTACTGGTATGTTTACAAATATACAACCAAAATTATAGAATCAATAAAGATACATTGAGGATAGATTACAAAGATACATATATATATATGTGTGTATATTCTTTTGAAGGGAGAAGAACTTCTCTGAATAAGAAAGAAAACTTCTTGAAAACTGAATATAAACCAAACAATTGTTTGGAAGTAGATAGAATTAACATAAAAATAAAGAACTGATAATCACTTCAAAAGAAAAACGACACATTTATTATAAATTTAGTGTTGTATTTATACATCTTTGCTTGATATTTTCTCTATTATGAGATAATTCTCATCTTTTTTTCCTCTTTTATTTTGTAGTTATGTGGTGTGGGTTACTTATATCCATATAAGTAGTATATGGTGATGATCAGGCATAGAGTGTATTTTGGTAGAAGATCTATAAGGAAAGAACCGAAATGAAGCGTGATCGATATGAAAATGTATGAGAAATGAAATCAGAGACGATGGACTAATATTTGCTGAAGGAACAGTCCAGATTGAGACAATAGAATGATAGTTTGCAAATTACCTGTTTACTGTATGGTTATCAGATTTTAGTGAGATATTGTGTAATTTTCGTGCCTAATACATTCGATTGTTCCCACTACAATACCAGTATACATTTCTACGTTGAATAAAACTAACTAAAAATACACTGTGTTAAAAAATTTTAGTAACATAAAATTATCTTTTTTGTTATTAAAGAATAGTTGAAATATTTTATGTGCTTATTAAACTTCCTGTCACTTAGTTTTCATCAGAAAAAGTAGTAGCAGAGAGTGAAAGACAATTAAACTGATGATATCATGAATCGATTGACAGTAGACCACCATTGAAATCTGGAAGCATTGAACGACCGCTTCGTCCTAGTATGGGACTCCTCATCAATGCGTATCCACGATTCTACACACGAGTTTTGAACCCAGGATCTTCTGCTTCGAGCGCAAAAACTTTACCTCTAGACCCCTGAGCCGGCATCCAATGGTGTTAACGTCTAACATCCATCGATCCATGAATGGTTGAGTGCAAGATAGTGGGAAATTAATAGTCTCCTTAACCCCAAACTGATGATATCAGCTTAAAAGTAACCATTAAATGTCAATTTCACAGTTAGTCTGCTTTCGAATGTTAATTTTCGCAATAACATTTTAATTACAGTTAGTGTTTTGATCTGTAAAACATTTACTAGTTGTTAGAGAAAGCTGAAATTTAATCCTTTCCTCTATTCATATTTATTTATTTTTAGGTATTTAAGTGAAACATGACTTGTATTTATGACCTTTTAAGTGAAAAGTTACTTCTGTTGATTTCTTATTTAATCCTAACTGTAGTGAATAACCAAAACTGTATTCACATTCATGGTCATCAGAAATTTATCAGCATATAATAGTGACTGTGGTCAGTTTATATCATGATGTTGTCTGTGGAATACAGAAAACTCCATCTTATATGTAAAGCCATCTTTAGACAATGTAATCGATTTTTTTGTGTTTGCTTTATCCAAACATTTTTAAACTTTGAAATTTCTTCATAGAAAAAATTACTACGATCGTTTAGCACAAAATTTTAACATTTTACTGATATTCAACCATATACTGATCCTTTGAAGAAATTGTTGTCAAGACATTCACCACCATGATACTATTAATCATTGTTTGGTCAAGTTGGAAACCATTTGTTTAACCTTTATAAATTCATCGTAGCTGAACAAGATTGCATTGAGACCAGTATCGGTGAATTATAAATCAGAAGTATGGAGAATTATTGTAATAAATATTATTACGGACTTACCAATACTTCAAATTACATGTGAAAATGTTTAGCATGATTTATTGACAATTATTCCGATCATCGGTTTCGAGCAATAAATTATTGTAGACAGTCTATTTGTTAGTTGTGTCTCAACAATAGATCGGATATTATTTACTCGTCTAACTTCGCCAGTTACTTCATTGATCGTAATTGTTAGACTACTGTGACAGTTTTGGTCTACAATTTAATAAAATACTATAATAACTGAATATATAAATGTACATGTGAACCGTTAATTAAACAGTTAATTACCTTAAATAATCTAAACACTAGGTTAGGGTTTGTAAGTATAAGCATGCAGTTCTACTTGTTCAAACTTCATACATAAATAACACCAAAAACCTATTTCGGCCAATTAATTTATGAATATAAACTTCCTAGACTTCAGATTTCAGTGAGTTTCTAAGTAAATTTATGATTGTCTGATAGATCAGTTACTACTATTCCGTTATATAGATAATAATCAGAAAAGGGTTTTGTGCATATTGCAGTAATTGAATAGTTAAATTCATGAGTCAATTAAAGGTAAACCACCATGGAAAACCTGGAGGCTCTGGACGGTCATTTCTTCCCTGTATGGGACTCTTCAGAAGTGTGTATCCACGATCACGCTCGTGGAGTTCGAAACCAGGACCTAACAATCTCGCGCGCAAACACCTATAGACCACTGAGCCGGCATCCAACGGTGTTAATTTTTAATTTCAATCGATCCACGAAATTGAGCAACCATTCAGCAATGTCTTCAGTGAGTTGATATCTCCCAACAGACCTGGTTGAACTCCATTGGTGACAGCTTCTCACTAGAACTCCAGGAAATATCTCTTGAAGCCAGTCCCTAGTGAACATATGATGATTATAATAGATAATAATTAGTTAGGTGATTAACGTTAGATATACATAAATTAACTGAAACACTTTTTATATTTAGTCAATAACTAGTGACAATCCTAAAACTAGAATTTTTTCGAGATAGTTGCAAATTTATGTGTCTGTATTCAGTACAGAAACTATGATGCCAATCAACCTATGTATTATCCACTCTAATAAAAAATAATTTAATTAGATAACATCGTTTTCATTTGTTTATTTAATTAATGAAGTAAAGCTTTTCCATTACAAATTTTCATTTACACTGCTATATACTGGGAATAATTGTTTTAGGTAATTAGTTCTTGTCATTAAACCAATCAGTAAACAACATCCAACCATCTCCAATTGTTGTATGTTATGAAAATCAAAGATCTGTGTAAACAGTTACATTAATGTCAAAAGATAAATTCATCATATTGTTATGTTCCCTAGTTGATCAACGTAGAATATGGTACACAACTATGGTACTCGAACCTATACAACCCCACAGTCGTAAAATTAGAAGATAGAAGAAAACTGGAGAAGTGTTCATTGGGTATGAATCAAAATGTACATAAAATTGCAACATATAATCACAGATCAAATAATATTAGATAATTCCTATATTTTTTTCTGGTCAGCGTTTTTTCAGCGGGTTAGTTTTTCTACGGGATGGGGTCGCTAACCCCATGCCCAACACACCTTTACCCGGGATTGGGACCAGCAGTAACTCTAGAAGAGCTACAGGTGGAAAGGAAGCGGAAAAGAGGAAGGCCAAATAACACATTACGTCGGGAAATAGAAGCAGATATGAAAAGAATGAATAATAACTGGAAAGAACTGGAGAGGATTGACTAGGGAAGAGTTAGATGGGGAATGCTGATGGGCAGCCTATTCTCCTCCACGAGGGGTAACAGGCGTAAATAAGTAAGTAAATTTATATATTGCAATCAGAACACTGAGTATATCGATCAGTAACCATATTGGTTATTCATTATTATTTAATTCATCTATTATCATCCATCTACATTTTATTCCATTTTATTCTCTGATGAAACCTTTATCTTGAATATTTGTAAATGGCAACATAAAAAAATCTGTATATTAAAAGAAAAGAAGCATAGATGAAAGTTGAAGAAAATAAGTATCTTAAATAGGGATAATATATTTGCAAAATGTCAGCGAATGAATTTAAAGTAAATCCATTGTTTCGCCTGGCAAAAAAGCTCGGACCAGATTACCAGGCGAAAGGTTGGATATACTTCAAATTCATTCGCCGAGATTTTACAAATATATTCTTCCCATTTAATGTCTTACGTCAACTCAGAGCCTAAATACTGTGAAACTATTCGCTCTAATTTAGACAAAAGTTCTCATAAATAAGTATCTTATTCTTTCTTAATTGGTCTCCAGTTTTCTTTTTTCTTTTTTCTTTCTAAAAAAAAGTTATGTTGTCCAGCTTTTGCATTTTATCTTCTTCTTCTTCTTCTTCTTCTTCTTCTTCTTCTTCTTCTCCTTCCTCTTCTTCCTCGTTATTTCATCTCTTATAACAATTAAAATAAACCAAAATGTTTAATTTGAATCTCATTGGGAAATAATTATGTTCGTGGATGCGCACTGCTGAGGAGTCCCATAGTAGGACGAAACGGTCGTCCAGTGTTTCCAGGTTTTTCATGGTGGTCTAGCTTCAATTGACTCACGCTTTCAACAATGATAATTATGTTTTCATTTAACAAACAAATAAAATTAAATATTTATCATTTTTGTACATAAACAATATGATCTATTTTATTATTATTATTATCTACAATTTTGGGAACTGATAAATGAACAATAATGTTCAAATAGAATGGAGTACGAATGTTTCATTCTATGGCATTCAATCACTCACTCACTCTCTCATGGTTTATTCTCCCCTTTATTTCCCAATGGAATTCAATTTAGATAGAGATATCCATTTAAAAAAAAGAAAAGTAATAACTGACTTAGTGTGTGCATTTATCTAACAAGCAAACAATTATGATCGTCAACAGGTTTTATGATGTAATTTCTCATTTTGTTTTATTATAATATGATTAGATTTATACTTTGCTATTGTTAATAATGGATATTCACTTCACTTATCTACTTTTATTTATAATAATACCCATAAAATGTAATCAGAAGTTAATTATCAATGGTATCAAAGTGATGATTACAACTGCTATTACTACTACTACTACTACTACTACTACTACTACTACTAATACTAATACTAATACTAATACTAATACTAATACTACCCTATCATCATCACCATTATCATTATCAATTGCATAGATTGCATAGACACATTGAAAATAATATTGGTTAAATATCAGACAAAAATTCAAGTGAAATTAAATTGTTATTTATTTTTCATTTTTTTGTTGTTGTTTTAACGACAACAAACAACCAAAAATTTTCAATGTTCAATTTAATCATCATTGAATGTTTGTTTAATTCTTATTCAATCCATAGAGAGAGAAAGAGAAACAATAAACTAGAGAAAAAAATAATGTAACCAAATAATTTAATTTTTAAATGTTCTGATTCTTAATGATTAAATAATGAACATCAATTTTTCTTTTTGGTGGTGGTGGTGGGGGTGATGGTGGTGATGGTCACTAGGGAATATTAAAATTTGTTCTAAAAAAATTATGTCGAAAAAAAACATTTTTTTGTAAAAAAAGAAATAAATAAATAAAAAAACAAGAAATCATAAATGATGAAAGATCACTTAAATTTGGAAAAAGAAAAAAATTAGGGGAAACAATTAATCGATTTTAGAGAAGATAAGATTTGAAGAATGATAATAGTAGGTTTTTATTACTTTCAAATTTATTTAAGAAAAGAAAATAGATAAGTTCTATACTGTTTTCCAAATAGTTATGTAATGATAATATTCTATTTGAGTTGTTTAAAACAATATGGTTAAAATTGAATTAAAGTTCTTACTTTTTCATTTAATAGCTTGTTAAATCATTAAATATCAAATTTTCCAGTTAGATTCTATAATCAAATTTTTTAAGTGTTGATTATGTTTTAGGTACAACAATACCAGACTGGGAGTTTGTGGAGATTTTAGTAATTTTATCGAGTTGAGATCATAAGTCAATTGAAGCTAGACCACCATGGAAAACCTAGAAGCCCTGGATGGCCGTTTCGTCATATTGTGGGACTCCTCAACAGTGCGCATCCACGATCCCGCCTCACGAGATTCCAACCCAGGACCTATCAGTCTCGCGCGCGAGCACTTAACCTCTAGACCACTGAGCCAGCCGGTATCCAACGGTGTTAATGTCTAACTCTAAACAATCCACGAAGTTGAGCAATGGTTCACCAATTGTCTTCAGTGAGTTGATATCTCACAACAGACGTGGTTCAACTCCACTGGTTACTGCTTCTCACTAGAACTCCTGGAAATAACTTATGGAGTCAGTCACTATTGAACATACGATCATTATTAGAAGGAGGTTTTGTGGAGATTTTAGTAATTTTATATAGCTGAAAGCGTGAGTTAATTGAAGCTAGATCACCATGGAAAACCTCAAAGCACTGGACGACAGAAAAGAATTTTCGTTATGATAATATGCTCATGTATTCATACGTAACAGTTAGCAAATAATATGGACTTAGGATAAGTTATATACTGTAAGAAAGATAATGGTTTACTTGTCTTTGAAAATGGTTATTCTTCATTAATATTGACTTGATATGATGAGGTGAAAAAGGCAAAATTATATTCCTTTACTCATTGTGACTTCTTATTCAACATTATTTCCGTTTTTAATTCAATGGAATAATTACCCAGTGTAGTATTTGTTTCTGTTTTCTAGTGTGCTATTTTATTCAGAACAACATTGATTTACTTCAGTGTAATGTTTATTCAAGGTACGATATTCTTGTATTAAATTAACATCAACTCTGCCCAGGATGACATGGTTTGTTATAACTATTGGTACTTTTCATAGACGTAATTTTATTTTAATTAATAGTCAAAATGAGCCTGCAATCAATATATAAATGAATGTATTTTCACCTAGGGTCGTCGTCATGTTTTGCAGTTAATAAATCTTTACTTGTATCAGTCGTGGTTTTCTCACTTTGCGTCGTGAGAATTGCGGTAGTTCCTCGTTTTTTTTTCAAGTATAAGTAATAAGTAACATGGTTATAACAAAACTCTGTTCAATAAAAATCAATTTATTTTGTTTGTAATATCTTAATTTCTTTACTATAATAGTTAAGCAACTGAAGATAGTTTTTAGTAAAGTTGAATAATAGCTAGTAGTGGTATCTAGGACTAGGGAGAAAGAGATTAATTAATTGAAGTATTTAACAACAACTAGAATATGCTTTAGTGACCCAATATATGACTGCAGTTAGATTGTATAAATGACTGTTATTGAAATATACATGTCGCCAATCCTCGTATATAGTCATCGATTTAACTCTCTTTAATGTATAACGTAATTAAATAAGTCAAATACGATATTAAAGTTTTGAATACGTATATTTTGTACAATCGTTGATTGTAAAAGACAATCAAAGAATCGTAGGGAAGGAAGAGGAGAGGAGAGAAGGGAGCGAAGCGAAATGACGCGCGGTGGAGAGGGCATATGAGACAACTTGATTTAACCAAGCGTGACTCGATATTTATAGTCAGACAAAAATAAGTTACAGACATATGATGAGTAAAATAGGGATTGTACATACGTACGCTCACATAAAAGCAATCAAGGTTGATAAGCGAATAATTGACAAGGTCAAAATGTGACTCAAGAAGAATGAATTAGATAACCTGTCCAGAAGCTAGGATAAGTTATGTGCGCTTAACATAGTAACCAACACTACAATGTAAATTCTTACTATTCATTAAAGATAATCATAAACTCAAATTTATCACTTTGGACAACATTGATTGGCTGGATCTTTGGAATTCCTAAAACCTTTTTTCAGAGATCCTAAATAATATTGTGCTATATGCTGCTGATGTCAACAGATATAAGTACTATGTATCATCAATCAAAAGTGAAATCCTTGGAGTCAGAAGGTTAAAAAGGTCAATGAAAAGAGAACGAGAACAGAGAATGATTAGTATGGAAATAAAGGAACAATAAAGTCTGATACGATTGATTGATATTTTGCAAATGAATTATTTACTGTATGATTCTCAGATTTTATATTCAAATACATTCGATTGTCCGCAGTTGTGTTCTTGTTCACCACAGTATTACCACATTGTTATCGTCATATATTTATCATTAATCTGCCAAATTCTTCATTGTTAAAAGAGAAGTAATTAAATTTTCATTTAGCTAAGTAAGAATGTAGTTTCTCCTCTACCTTTCATTGATGTTTTAATCAATGTAATTCACTTTTGTTAGAGAAAAAAAGAGAATGAATGAATAAGGTTTCTGTTTGTTTGTAAATTGTTCGTTATACATCATTGAACATCTACACAGCCATTGTGTATATGAGTGGATATTTTGTTGTTGTTGTTGTTGTTGTTGTTGTAGATGTAACGTTTTCAATCTAAATAGATTTGATTAAATACTTTTGATTCTTTACTAGTCACATTGTTTTCTTCTCTCTCTCACTCTCTCTCTCCTTCTCTTTAATCTCCTTTGCAAACACGAGAGTACAGCGGTATACATATATATATATATATAACATTGAAAACTATGAAGGTATTCTATCGTATACACAAATATAGATGTACACAGTAAATAACTATTCATGTAACTGACTCTTTATAGAACTAAATCTTGTCCATGAGTATTAAAATCTATGAAATTGACAAACTTAAAAAAAAGTAGACAGAATATTTTAAAATTCATTTGACCATATCGATAATAATTACTTGTTGCTTAAGAGAGTGTATGTATTTATACCAAGTGGGGTGGGGAGATGAAGGTTGATAAAGAAAAATATAAATGGATATTTGGAATAAAACTGTTTGTGGGATAGTTAACGATGAAAAATAAATTCTTCTCTGATATTGCTACATTCAATACAAAATGAACATTATCATTATCGTCAATATCAACACTTATATCATACTACGATGTACCAATCATATGACAGTTATAGTAATAATAATAATGATAATAGTAATAGTACTACTACTAATAATAAAAGTTAGTATCCACTGAATTGTATCCATTTTAAATCTTGTCAAAAATATAATGGAATCGTTTAGTATAGATGACTTAAAATATTATTCTTTCTATAATTATGATTCTTGATAATTGTTAATCCTTACATTAGAGACAATGTCTATTATAAGGCTTCAAATAGAAATTATATCAGATAGCATTCTATGATTAGTTGATTTATAAAGAATTATATTTAGGCTTTACAATCTATTAACTCATTGACCCAACTTAGTTCTTAGACTTTCTATTTACTTTTGTAGAAAACAAAAAAAATACTCTAAAACTTTCACCTATTTATGATAATGAATGATATTAAACAAACTATAAAGGTAAAGTTTATGTTTACTGTCAATTTTTTATCAATCATTCAAGTTTTTTTTGTAAAATAGTTGAATCCATGAGTCGATTGAAGCTAGACCATCATAGAAAACTTGGAAGCACTGGACGACCGTTTCGTCCCATCGTGGGACTCCTCACCAGTGCGCATCCACAATCCAGCCTCGAGTGATTCGTTGTTTATCATGAAAGTGATTATGACAACCAGTGAATTTATCATCTGAGATTTTTTGTAATTGAGAAATATATTAGTGCATAGTAGACAAATCTTACTATATAAATATACTTAGTGGACTTTACAACTGTTTTTTTGTCTATCAAAAGTTCAGAATTAATAACTCTGAACGTAACATACATTAAAAAGTAGTATAGGAATAAAACAAAATACATAATTTCTGGTTAGCGTGTTTTTTAACAAACTGGTTTTCTACGGGATGGGGTCGTTAACTCCATCTCAACCCTCCTCCTTTATCGGGGCTTGGGACCGGCAGTAGCCCCCGGAGGAGCTACAGGCGGAGTTTAAAAAAAATACATACTAATAGTTTTTAATATGATATCGATTGGCAATTAAAATGATGTTCACACCAATCAAAAATAATAACATTCTAAAATTAGTTAATATTCCATCTCCTTCGGGGAAGTATAATAGTAGAGTCTATGATGAAAGTACTATTTAAATGGTCTGATTTTGTGAAGAGGGACGACATTCAATTAGATTTTCGAGGTATGATATTGACAAATGGGTCACGTTCAACTTTTGGTAGGGTTATGTATAGCCTGAAAGTATATCATATGCTGAGCGAATGT